AAGTTAAATTCACTAGTTTTTCTTAAGTAGAATCAGCAATTACTTTTTACAGTGTAGTAGTTTTGGAATTCTGGCACTTCTAGTGTTAACAAGCAGAATCACTGAAGGAGTAAACCGTAATTTTTAAGTCACCATTATGGAGATCAGTGTGTGTTTTAGTTGGCCTCTTGACCCTCAACTTGTTGTAGATGTTGTTTGGCTGCTATACGTGAATTATAACCGGCAGATGAACAAATAGAAAACGTGATTTGATGGTGTTGGTTGTGTTTTAACATAATCATTAATTCACAATAATTTGACCTGCATCACTAATCTCTATTTGTTTTTCTGATATTTTAAAAACTAATGTGTTTTTCCGATATTTTTGTTTAAAAAATGTGTAAATTCTACTCATTTTAAATGGTTAACTTTTAAGTAATTCATTTGGTTAATTGTTACTCAATTCTAATTTGTTAAATGTAATGTATAATGTTGATTGTAATCTGTTGCCTCAGTTTTATTGATTAGATTTAACATATTCAGTCGTATTCATTTTTACAGTGCGGGCAGTGGAAGGGGAAAACCACAAAGTCTCACGATGCTTCTTTCAAAAATGTATCTTATTTTAACTTGAGTGCCATGAATGCCACTTTTAGAACGCAAAAAGATGCAAGGCGTAAACGCAACGGTCAAACAGATCCGTCTAGTTCTTTTTTCCATAGAAAATATGGGAAAAGTAGCGCAGTGGAATGGAAAAACGCGTTGTGAACAGGCCCTATAACCAATGACCAATAACCAATAAGTTGTTCTATATACAATTTTAATAATATTTCCTGTATTTTTCTAATGACAATTTTTGGTGTGTGTAGGCTAACATTATGTGCATTGTCATCATGGATTTTATACAATGTAATAAAAAATGTTTATTTTATCACAGAATTAGGCAGAAACAAGGCTATATTGTATAGTTTATATAATGTTATACAGGTTATGTCTATTAGCACTGCATTACTTTGTTATGAAAGATGAGATGTGTTGAAAAACAAACTTAAACCATAAATTGTTGCTATCGTTTATCATTTTGCATTGCCTCGTTTTTTTGAATAAAAATCTAATGTAAATCCAGTGAAATGTTTGATTTTTGCATGAATAAATATATGACTCCATTTTGGATTCCTGTGCGGACAACTTCTGTTTAGCAAGTTTTTCTTCAAGATATCTTTTGCCTTTCCACTGAAGAGATGCTATGACAAGTACAGAGTTGAATGGATGTTTAGCTATTAAATAAAAAGTTCTTTAACATTTACTTTTGTTAGCAGGCCTAAAATAGTCAACAGATCTCACTTTCCTAGTTGCAGCGCTTGCTTAAAGTCCCAGATCAAAGTGAGGAGCTCTTATTGTTCAGCTCACACTACACACAATGTCACCATTCATACATGGGTGTCTTTTAAGCCAAAAGCCTCTCATAACCCAAAGTATTGCTGGGTAAGAAGAGGAGGGTACACTTGCGCCCCAAACTCTGACCCGGTCAGACGTCTTTGATCCCGAAGCCTATGTTCTTCCCGAGCATCCTTTGATGGAAAGTATTAACCAACACAATGACGGTACAGAAGACAAGTCGCAGTAGTGGTAGTTTAATGTGATGACCTTCTCCTGAGGTCGAATTGAGACCATTTTTTAAAGCACTTTAACAGCACTTGAAGCCTTTATGATTCAGGGATATATGATATGATATATCATAAAAGCTGGTGCCAATATTTTGTTCGTCCCTGAAATACTTTTTCGTCTCGGCCTAAAAATGAAACCCCTTAACCGACCTCTACACAATGTCCATGGGACTTTCAAAAGTTTGGGGTCAGTAAGATTTTAAAAATAGAAAAGAAATGTATACTTCTATTCAGCAGGGGCTCATTAAATTGATTTAAAGTGACAGTAAAGACTTTTACAATATTAAAAAAAAGTTTTTGATTGCAAATTAACACTGTTCTTTGGAATTTTCTATTCAACACACACTCATGATAAATAATGAACCAAGGTTTCCACAAAAATATTACAAATGCAGCTTTGGTGAGCATATAACATTACACGTTAGCATTCCAAAAACATGACAAAAAGACCTAACCAACCCCAAAATTTGGAAACATGTTATACCATGTAATTGCTACTGTTGGACAAACTTTTCTGGCATCGTCAGAGGGGTGCCTTATTATCAGTTGGTAGTCAACTCCACTTTCATGCTATCCTCCTGTTCTTCATGCTTCTGAGATTTACCCTGGGGCTATTTTTCCTCCATCATTTCTCTGAGAGAATAAAGAATTACAAGAGGAATTATTTGGATGTGGATCAAATAAATTCAACAAAAAATTTCTGTAAGGCTGGAATTAAATAATTAAATTAAATTAAATAATATTGAATATTATATGGAATTAAATAATAATGCTCGCTATATCGTATCGTCCCCACGATTCACATCTATTCAACTAAAATCAATCATTCAAACTATAGGAAGTGCTCAGTAAAAATATTTTTAACTTAAAAAAAAAAGTAACCTGGTTGCCTTAAAATTTTAAGTTCATTGAAATTGAAAAAGAGTTAATACAATGAAGGAGATTGATTTAATCACCAGAAACTCAAAATATTATGTTATCTGAACTACATAAATTATTTAAGTTGATTTGACAAAAGAAAAAATGTTGTGAATACTTTTTTAGAGTGATGTATTTAGTTTTTGTTCATTTTCAAATGTTCATTTTGTGTTATTTGAAGAAAAATATTCTTCAACAAGTTGTTCTCATGCATACAAATTTAGAAATAAATGCTGTTATGTTACACATCTACTTACCTCAGCGTTTTAGTTTCCGCACTGTAAAAAAAAAAAAAAATCGATTTATCACAACATATTTCTTTTGTCAAATCAACTTGAATAATTTATGTAGTTAATATAACATAATATTTTGAGTTTCTGATGATTAAATCAATCTCCTTCATTGTATTAACTCAATTTTTCCAGTTCAATCAACTTAAAATTTTAAGGCAACTGAACCTGTTTCCTTAATCTTTTAAGTTAAACCAACAATATTTGTTTACAGTGTAGAGCGTTCAGCGCACCTAATCACCTACATAGATGAGAATGCAGATTATCACTATGTTTTATGCCTGCCAATTGATTAAAACAATGAATAAATGATCTCTGTATTAATTATCTCGAGCCTGCTGAAATGTTTTTATAAATATATTTCCTGTCATTCTGAATAATAAATAAGCTAACTCCAAGCAGCAGGAGTCCATGTTCGTCTTCTCATTAACAGTATTGTAGTTGCTGCTACAATATTAAATAAATAAATATTTAATCAATAATGTACACAGGGTAGAGGATAATGACAATCAACTACTTGGAATAGAGCGCCGAAGTTATCAAGTCACTTTGTAGGCCAAAACGCGGAAGGGAGTTAGCATTAGCACTCCCGGTTCCCTCGCTCATGGAATTTTTGAATGGGTTTTTGCTAAATCGCCTGAAATAAGGTCTGTGGTGAACAAAGCCTCTAAATATTTTCAAGTTTTGATCTATGACATAAAACACACCAGTTATAACCTGCTTGTTTGTTTTTTAAACTTTATATAGGTTTCAAAATGTATAAATTTTGGATTAACTTGTAAAGATTATCTTGATAGAAAAAACGTGTAAAGGGTCACAACTCTTTATTGAACACAGGTCTTATTTTTTGCGATTTTCCAAAAGTCTATGGGGTAAAATGCATAGCTTTTTGATCGAGGGAACCCATGCAACGCTAGCTTCCAAGTTGTCCTACAAAGTGACGTCATCACTTCGGCACTCTATATTATAGCATTTTAGGCGAAAGATTAAAATATTTAATCCAAATAAATAAATGTTCGTACTGATGTTGTTCATGTATCGTTTTCATACACTTCAGCGTCATGGTTACTATAGTTTTAGTCGAAAACTGACTAGGGCTGCCAAACAATTAATCGCGATTAATCGCATCCAAAATAAAAGTTTGTGTTTACATAATATATGTGAGTGCACTGTGTATAATTATATATATATATATATATATAAATACACACACATGCATGTTTATTTAAGAAAAAAAATATTTATACATAAAATATTTATATTTATATATAATATAAATTATACAAAGTATATATATATATATATATATATATATATATATATAAAACTCTATATACAGTATATTCATGAAAATATTTCTTTAATATATACAAGCATATGTGTGTATTTATATATGAAGAGTTCAGATGCAAAAGCCTCTAAGTGCCATTTGAAATTTTCTTCTACAATGATCATTTTTATTAAGCTTGTATATTTAAGTTCAGTGATTTCACTTAAATGGCTACGATAATTACCTATTAATTGTTATTTAAGTGAATTTACTGAACTTAAATATACAAGTTTGATAAAAAAAGAAAATTTCAAATGGCATTTAGAGGCTTTTGCATCTGAACTCTTCATATATAAAATAATTATACTCAGTGCACCCACATATATTATGTAAACACAAACTTTTATTTTGGACGCGATTAATCGTTTGACAGCCCTAACACCGACACTGAACATTGTATTTTTAACACCTGCTGCTTTCTCAGGTCGGCTTGGGTTAGATTAAAAACTTAATGTTACAATAAATTTGGAAAATTCTGCACACAGTAAACATCAGAATATTCTCCTGTTAATAAAAAATGCCATTTTTTTTTTAATCTTATTGCTGACACTCTTTTTAGGTGCCGTTGTTCAACTCATTGACCACTGTACATTGAAAGTAAACATAACCGTAAAGAAGTGAGACGTACCATTTCCAAACAGGAAGTGTGTCACGAAGCTCAGTGCAAGTGATGCATTAAGACAGTTAATAGAGTGAAATTCCCTCAAAATACCTAAACCTATACAAATTAACAATACATATGCGTTTTGATTGGTTTTGCTTCTGAAACAAAACCCACTCCACAAGAAGCAGACAGAAGAGACAAAACAAACCCAGTAAACAGAAAAATTAAGATGCTGTATTGAAAATGTACAAAAGCTATACATATGCTGAGTACTGCAAATGGCATCACAAAATACCAACCAACTCCAATAGTTCAGACTTTCAGAAACGCTCTGTCCTTGGTGGGAATTAAATCGGTCCCAAATCAAAGGCAGAAGTCATTTTAGTTCGGGCCTGTGGTTTATCACAAGCTCAAGAGGGTGATGGACCTGTTAACTGGGATGCGATGTTCACTGAGAGTACTTGCATATTCCTTTAATATACGCACAGGTTGTGGTCCATGGATGTAATGCTACATCACACAGCCAGATGAGAAGCAACTACAGAGATCTGAAACTCCTGGAGCATGCTTCGAGGGAATCTGTCAATACAGATGAAATTGATCAGCTCCAGGGAAATGTGCAGACATTTATGTCCATCAGTTTCGTATAATTCCCCTTAGAGCATTGTGCACATTATGAAGAAGCATGTGCAGTTCATATGCAGTACACATAATTTAAAGCATGAAGGATATGGAATAACTATAAACAAAACAGCAAACTGCAATAAAGATACCCATAAACTATTAGTTTAGCTACATACCAGATTACATAGCATTATATGAGTTTAAATCGTATTACTTCTTTAATGCGAGGCACTTAGTGAATTTCAGTGCACTGTTGAGAACGGGAAAAATCAGACTTATACAAGTCCAATAACCATTACCCTGATGTACACTAATAAGCATTAACAAACAAACTTACATAAAACATATATGGCTTTGTGAAACATCATCTTGAGGTTTTTGCCAGCCTGGTTGCATACAACAGTTGTGTTAGCAAATGTCTGATAATGTATTCGACAGTGTCCACCTGAATGCTGCAAGTTTAACTTCTGCAAGATACTGTACTTCAGTGCCTTTGCTCATGAAATAATGCATAAACATGTTTTTCTCCCCTTTAGAGAACAAATTAGTGTTAATTTTTTAGTCTTTGTCACTTTATTGTTCAATGTCTTTACATTTAAAGAACATTAAAAGCCACCCCTGATTTTTGAACGAATTCTCTAATTCTCAAGCCATCATGTTTAAGAATTTGCTTTCCTCTGCAAGGGCCGTTAACATTGAGCTCATGTCACCAATGGCCATGTTGCCAATACCTGCCGGTATCGAGGCTAAAGTAACAGAGTTACGAGGGGTGGTGAGCCGTGAGGAATTCTGCGAAAGACTCTGCAGAATGCCCGGACTTAAGGTGCCGGACATTAGGCTTGAATGGTCTCCATCATCCAAAATGGCATCGAAGTCTATTTGAGTGTGCTCAAGGGTTGGAGTGGAGTCCACTGTGCTGGTGACCTGATTAACCCCAGGAGACGGCATTGTAGACACCGAAGCAACAGGGGCTTGGTTTGCGCACGGGGACATGGGTGAACCATAATCCACACTGGGGTCCAACATGTGGATCTCTCCTGAATAGTACACAGTGCCGTTCCCATTGCTGTGTTGACCAAAGTCACCTGGTCTCTTTGGGATAGCTTCTGAGGAGTTGGCGTTAGACAGGGAGCAACCATTCTGCTGAACCATACCTGACCCTGAGTGTTGCCTATTCAAAGGTTTGGGCTCGGATGGAGGTCTGGGCTGTATCAGTCCTCTGCCTGCATTTTGACCGGCAGTCTGAGTAAGGGGAACATAACTTTGCTGGTTGGCGTTATTCAAATGTGTAAAGTTGGATCTGAAATTCTGCGTCTGTTGGTTTTGCACCACTCTTCCATTATGTGGACCCATGCTGTTGCATGTTAGGTGTTGACTGGAGTTGAAATTGAGGTCCTGCCGATATACCGGTTGAGGGTTTACTTGCTCGCCGAGATTCTGACAGGAATTGGTAATAGACTGCCGACACAGCTGGACAGAGTTCATCCTCTGGATGGTCCTCTGTGGATAACCCTGTTGCATGTTAGCCAGATTCTGGCTCATTGGTACAATATGTTGATTAGAGCCAAAGCCCTGGTAAGGGCCAAAATTCTGCTTCTGCTGAACCACTGCCAAGTTCCCTCTGAGTTGTTGCTGCTTTGGAAGCCTCGCATTTGTTTCAACAGAACCAGAACTGACCTCGTTCCATTGCACAGGCATGTTGTTCTTGTTCATGTCTTGTGCATTGGCCATTTGCTCTGGATGTGAGCAAATAGGCTCGACATGGCTTCCATTGTTGCTTGTCATGCTAATTCGCCGTTGCCCGTAGAACTGTTGTTGTTGAGAGGTCATATTACCATGGAAGTCTAGTGCATGACCACCATTGAAAGAAATCCCTGGGTCCTGATTGGAGCTACCATTCTGGGATCTGAGGTACTGTACCATATCATCCGGAAGCACTAAATCATCCTCTTGCTGATCACCTCCATCACTGGCCATATTCTCCATTAAAACGTTCTCTGAAATACTAGGTGGCCTTTGGCTGAAGGGATGGCGGTGCAAGCTGCCATCGGAACAAGTGTTGCTCTGCAAGTTGAAAGCACGCCGATCTAATGCAGGCAGGCGGGAAAAGTTCATGTTGCTGATGCTGTTGAATCGCTGAACCCTCGGCAAGGAGAGCGGGTCGAAAGTTGTACGACGAACAGGATCACTTGCTCGTCGCAGAAGATTAGCCTGAACTTCATGAGGCATCATGCCAGGGGCACTGTAGCCGGTGTCACTGCAGCGTCTTGAGTTGACTACACCTTGGGAATGGTGCAAATGTGTTGAACTTTCTTGCGAGTCATTGTACAGGGCCATTCTAGTTCTAAGACTCATGCGATCCATGTTCGGTAGAGGTGTTGGTGGTGCACCCCCTGTGGCTGCAGCGTATTTCGCCTTGAGGCGGTAGTGTTGAGCCGGCGTGAGATTTAGCAAACTTGGGAGTCCACCTGCCCCGCCGCAGTGGCTAGCTTCACTGGAGCGCCGAGACATATCTGTGGAGATGGGGTCATAGGAATCTGCTGAGCTGACGTTGTTGTTGCGGACTCCAAATTGCGAAGTCTCGCTAGAGCGACGGCTGGAGTAGCAGGGTGAAATACCAGAGGACCGACGACTTAGCGTGTATGCTGAGCTCATCGTGCTGGTGGAGCTGTCTCTGCGCTCATGCAGCTGATTAAGGACTGTCATCTCATACGAAGACAAATCTCCTGAACGTTGGGTTGGAGGTCCAGGCATCTGAGTGCCCATATTTGAAGTCTCCAGCAATGAGTCTGAAAAACAGAGTAATGAGAGTACTGTTACTTTCTCACAAAGCATGAGAATGCAAACATGAACCTCAATTTCCAAAGTAATAAATCACATACGTTTTGGCTGCAGTACTTACCAATAGTTGGTATTGGAGGCAGCTTGGTATTTCGGACTTGAGGTGAAGCATTCGCCCAGGAACAGGAGTCTCTTACCATTTTTAGTTTTTCCTTCTTGATGTGATCAACATTAAGTAGTCCACCCCTGTTTTTACGCAGTTGAAGACCTACTCCTGCAGAAGAACCTGGAGAACCGGTAGAATCTACTACAGGTGAGTCATCTAAAGCATTCAGGTCCCCCAAACTGCCTCCACTGTGCATGGCCATCTCTACTCCACTGTCATTGTTGGTGGCACTGCCAAGTGGCGATGGCTCACTGCTACATGATGACTGACCACCAGGGCTGGACTGATACATCTAGAGAAGGACAGTAATAAGCAAAGGTCAGTTCCACAGTTCCATTAGAGTCAGTGACATTTGTGGCTGCCTCATATATTATCTGGTTAATGAAATCTTGAATAAATCAAATACTGTTATTCATTTGTATTAGAATTAAGATTAGCTCTTCATTAATGTTAGATTCAAACTTGTGTAAGGGCAAGTTCCTTTGGGTTTCTCCTTGTGAAATGTACAGCTTACTTTCATATAAGGGAACATAATTTTTTTTTTCTTTTTAAAATGTTTCCACTGATAGTCTACAAGAAACTGAATTGAAAAGTTCGGTAACACTTGACCATACGCGTACACTTATAAGCATTAATTCATGCTTAACTAATGCACAGATAATACTGAATTAATGTGTAACTAATGATAATCTAAGCTATTCATTAATGATTACCACATGAGGAACTAATTAAGAGTCTGTAAGGTTAATGTATTAGTTCATACATGAATTGTTTTTAACTTGTAGTGTTAACTAATATGTTAATTACCAGAATGAGCCAAAGCCTTGTATTTCAACTTCCAGATAATATACATTAATATGCATTAATACATGATTAATTACTTCATTGTTAGTGCAAATTCATGTGCAAATTACTACAATTACTAAATGACTAGTTAATAATGTTGTGCCCCCACAAGTAAAGTCATAACATAATGACACCTTTGCAAATCATTAGGTAATGATTAATTAAAGCAAACAACTGGAAGTTGAAGTGCATAGCTTTGACTAATTGTGGTAATTAACATCAATTTACACTATTAGTTAATAAAATATGTTATTAAGGAATTAATACACAATGACACATTGAATTAATAGCAACTCATGTTTTACTTAATATATTAATCATATAGACTCTTTATTAGTTGCCGATGCAGTAATCATTCATTAAATGGTTTAGTTATTCATTAGTTATACATTAACTCATGACTATCTGTGCATTAGTTAAGCATGAATTAATGCATATTAGAGCACCCGTATTGTAAAGTGTTACCAAAAGTTCTTTAATAGTTTTTCTTTTCGACTCAAGAAAGAAAGGCATGGACATCTTGGATGACATGGGGGTGAGTAAATTATCAGCAAACGTTTTTTTCAGTTACAAAAATTTTCACAATACAACTAAATCAAACATTACTGAAGTGTTTTTTTTTTTAAAGTATTGACTTTGCCATGCATTTAAAAGAGATTTCTCCAGTGCTCACCTTAGTACAGTCTGTCCATTATTTTCAAAGAGAAGCAAGTTAGTTAAGAAGAAAGGACAGTGTTAGTATATTAGTAGAGGAAATGGTTAGTACATTAGTTTGAATTCTGCATTAAGCGCATTCCACTCAGTACACGATAAACAGCAAACTCTGCACATGATGCAATCTGCATGACGTGATTACTGTAAATACTGCATATCTTACATGCAAAAAACTAATATCTTAGTCAACACAAGTAGTTAAGTCATTTAACCCGCCATAAAATAGATTAGTCACAACCTTAAAGCTACACTGTGTGATTTTTACCCCCATCTAGTGGTGAAAATGTATATGACCATCCAGCAAATATTAGTTTCTGTGCCTCTCAATTCCGATTTCGTTTTAACTCCTACGGTGGCCATTGTAGTCCAAAATTAACATTGCTTCCAGTTCGACCTCGTCCATGAGTGTTAACTCAAATGTAAACGTGAAAGGCAAAGCTTGAATTAACGAGTATGTCCAACATGGCGACCGACATTAGAACCCCTTACTCGTATGTATTCAATGGCATATTATACACTCACGAGAATACTTTATTACTTGAACGAAGTAAATATACATTAATGAGCACATATATTTTTAAAAGAACTAAATGTTTTTAGCTAAGACTAAACTAAATAGTTACACAGTGTAGCTTTAAATTTGAAATGGCAGCAGCTAACCCTAACCTCTTCCGTTTTAATTGACCAGAAAAAAAGCTAAATAATGAATTGATTGTACTGGTTGTGAATAACAACATCACCTTCGATTGTTCAATAACATACCACAGTAATGAATCTTGTACTGCCTCTCTCCCATTGGAAAATAATCTGGGAATGTGTGCTTACCATGCACCGTGTAAAACTGCTTTGACTGAATCTTTCATTAGTGATGTAATCATTTGTTAAGAACGAAACTGACTATTCTTACCATTGTGTTTTCCGTCTTGATAGACTTGACATGTTGGCAATCCTCCACTCCTCGAGTAGTGCTGTTGGCCTCCCCTAGCCCGTCTGACCTTTCCCTTGCATGCTTTGTGTGGGCCTCATTTTCTCCATTCCCTTTAGGGGGATGAGGTTTAGGTGGCACATCACCACGCTGCTTCTTAGTGACATGTGCGTCTGGACCATGAACGGTCTTCACATGTTTCCTGAGAGAACTAGGGTCTGTATAGCGTTTTGTGCAACCTGGGATCTTACACACATATGGTTTCTGCAAAGGAGTGACAGATAGCTTTTAGAGTGCAATGAAATCAGCCTTAAATCAAATCTCTTAGTCTCAATGAGATGGGAAACAAGATGCACATAATGAAACAGATGTTGAATGTTCGAACCTCATTTGAGTGTGTGCGGTTCTGGTGCTTGGCTCGGTCTGAAGCATTGGAAAACGCCTTGTTGCAACCCTCATGCTCGCATACATAAGGCTTCTCCCCTGTGTGGGACCTCAAGTGAGTTTTGAGGTTTTCCAGTCGAGAGTAAGCTTTCGAGCAACCTTCAAACTAGACAAGAGAAAGAGAAAAGAAAGTCATTACATCAGTCTGAACCCCAAATCAAACAGCTTTATGAGTGGATCTGAACATGTCTGGGTTTTATTGCATCCCTAAATCAAAAATAAAATAAGAAATAATATTTTTCTTAAAAGACAATGTAGTCTATTTGACAATAAAGCATATTCTCTATACAATTCTCATTACAATAATGATTTTTTTTTGTGTAACCTGGAATGTTTTCAAGAGATTCACCCTTAAAGAAACATTTTTTTTTTATTGTGATTAATTTTTTTTTTAGTTCAGATCATGTCATCCTCAGTCATTATGATCAATCTACTGTGTTATATATGACACACACATATACACTGAAGGTTTGTGGAAACTTCAGTAAAATTTAATAAAGAACCGTTGCACCTTCCTCTCTTCAGACTTTAATTATGTCTCCATCCTGTCAATCAGCAAGCTCAGATGTTCGTTTTAATAGGGTCTCAAACCACTAAAATTGGCTAGAAACGCATGACAGCAGATCAGAGAGCCTTCATGATGTTTTAGGAAAATAAAAGTAGCCAAGATGAAATTGTGTCCTGTTTAAAATCATGTACTGTAATAAGAAACAAGCCTATTTATGTAAAGCAATAGCTTGCTCTACTTGTGGGTTCAGAAATATATGCGTGTATTCTTGCAATTAAAAGTAAAGGTGGTATAGGTTTTTAAATAGTGAGGGGGAGCTAGTAAGTGTGGTTACACTTTATTCCGATAGTCCAATTTAGACATTCTCCTAACTAAAGTACCTTTGCAAATATGTGTCAACTAACTCTCATTAGTTTGCAACTACATGTCAACTAACTCTCTTTAGAGTATTAATAGACTGTTAGGGTTAAGGGTCTGTTGGGGGACCATCAATGAAATGAAAGCCCAATGAGCAGTGGTGCATCACTTACTGTGCACTTATGGGGCTTCTCCCCAGTGTGTCGACGCATGTGAACCACAAGCATGTACTGGGCCTTAAAAGGCTTCTGTTCTCGCGAGCACTCCTCCCATCGGCACACAAACTCTTTCTTCTCTCCATGGATGTGGTCATTGTTGATATGCTGCAGGTAGAGAAAAGTGACAACATGAATGTCAACAATGGCCTTAATTCGTTAAAGGGGTGGTTGACAGCAATTTCACTTTTTTCATTATAAATAGTGTGTAATGTTGCTGTTGGTGCATGAATAGTATCTGCAAAGTTGCAGCGCTGAAAGTTCAACATGTAAGCAGAGATATCGTCTTTTAAAAATCAGGAAGTGTAATGCCTACAAAAACGACTCGAATGGGACTACAATGGGTTTTATACGTCACTAACCCACACATTTACATCAACCCTCCCTCCGGAATATGCAAAAAAAGAACATGGCCATATTTCTGCGGCTCGTCGAGTGTGTTATGTTCACCCAGCTGTCAGGTCTTCTGTGTTCAGGCTTCCCACGGACGTTGTAGTTTGTCAACAACAATGGATACAATTTATGTTTGATTATATTCCTGAAAAATACATTCGTAATCTAGCTCTCTGTGCTGCGCATTTTAAGAAAAACAGCTTCCAGAATCTCCACCAAACACCGGATTCAACAAGAAACTGTTACTAAAACAAGAAGCAGTTCCAACTTTAAAACCAGAGGCAGCAGTTTTTGGGCCACAAAATGTATTTGCATGTATAATTTCAGACGTAATGTTTTAGTTTTATCAAATGCCAGCGCTGCCTTTATAGCCACTTAGTTATGCTATTTCGTGTCTACGACAAACGCGTACAAACATTTTGGACCTGAATTTGTATATGTACTAATTTTGTAAATCTATTTTTCATGTATATACTTTATGCCGTTGATCAAGAACGTAAACCAATGCCAACGCTGTTTGTGTATATAGTAGCCAGTCAGTTCGATGCTTTTGTGTAAAACAAACGTGTATAAAGTTTAAAAAAAATATAGGCAAATTACCATACAGAAACGTTTAGTAAGAGCCGTGTTTAGCGAGGTTCTGCTTGACTCTCTTCATCGCCGCTTTCTGGGTCTGGGTCATACTAATACTGCAGTATCGACACCATTATGTAGGCTACATTTGACAGGAACATATATGCAACTTTTGCCCGTAAAAGGTAATGGGCGTGAAGTATCTGGACAACGTGCACTACAGTTTAGCCAATCACAGCACACCGGCCCAAACTAACCAATCTGAGCCCACTGCCTGTTTCTGAGGGAGTGTTTTCATAGAATCAGGAAGTAAACCGGTCGTTCAAATGACAGAGGAGAAAGCGGCTTACAATAAAGGTGAAATTTATGAAAAATAAGACTTTTTAAAAAAGAAAAACCACGAATACAAAGAAAAAAAAGCAGTAAACCACCCCTTTAACTCTGCAATGAACAGCCAATGATATAATTTTGTCATGACAACTCTCTTGAATGCTTGTCAAGGTAATGAATATGACAATGTAATATGTTTGGTCTTGGCAGAATAGATCTGCAATGATTCCATATATATATATATATATATATATATATATATATATATATATACGTATATATATATATATGAAGAGTTCAGATGCAAAAGCCTCTAAATGCCATTTGAAATTTTCTTCTAAAATGACCATTTTTATCAAGCTTGTATATTTAAGTTCAGTAATGTCACTTAAATGACAATTAATAGGTAATCTTCATTGCCATTTAAGTGAAATTACTGAACTTAAATATACAAACTTGATAAAAATGATCATTTTAGAAGAAAATTTCAAATGGCACTTAGAGCACTTATATATATATATATACAAATAACTGTATTATGGTTAGTTTGAACAGTACTTGCTTTGTATTCTTAACAGCACCTAACCTAACCCTGAATGAAGTTCTTCGGGGAAGGATTGCATGAAATAAAATCAAACCATGCCATTATTTTGTTTCTTGAAGTATGTAATTTAGATCGCAAGCCGAGAGCACAGACTATAGCCTTAGGACTAAAAAGGGTGTGTAGGAAGGAAGTCCAGGCTCTCAGTTTTGCTCTGGTCTCTAAACATTCCTTTGTTTCCACTTCTGATTCCTCTTCCTTGTCTTCTCTGGCTGTAATTATACCTTCCACTTGGTCTCGCTTTTCAAAACCATTTTATCGTATTTCTTTGAAATCCGAATAATGACGGACAGCAAGCTTGTAATCCCCAACAACAATTCACTTGCAACTACTTAAGACCATATGTTTATTTGTGCCTTTATATTAGTCTAGTGTGGCTTTCAGAAGAAAGAAGAAAAAACATACTAGGCTCAGCTTAGACTGGTTTGGGCTTGTTCTGGAATTGGAGAATGGCAGGAACTTAATTCCACTGATCCAGAACCCCAGAGAATTCCAAAGCTCCAGGTCCAGGTCCCATGAGGAGCCAGATTGGCTCGATGTGTTCCTGTCTAAGCACTGAGTTCCTGTCCAGTCTGACTCTGGGCCCAAGTGTATCTGTCACATTGTGGCTTTCAGATTGTTAACAACACCCAGCAGAGGGGCTGAGGTGTCAGAGGTGGAAACGGCCACTCCAGAGCTGCTGGCATGATGACGGATTTACTATACGGCCTCGGGGAAGTTAAAAGGTCAGAGGGTGCACAGAGACAGGAGCCATACATTTGAAAGCATGTGTGTGTGTGTACGTGAATGTGTTCTGCCCCTCTGTGGGTATCAACATGCTCATTAACCTAACACGCGTCAGTGACAGGAAAGGATCAGGTACGGCTCTGGCTAAAGCTGTCGATGAGAAACTTGTCCAACACGTGTAGCGTTTCTAATTATTTACAGTTGTTTCGGCTTTGTTTGATGTTTGCAATTTGTGTTTGTTTGGTTAGTCACAATGACCATTACAAGAAAATAGCTCTGTTCCATGTTGTCTAGCTTGCCAGCATTTTAAGGCATTATATGCACACCCCTTACATGAAGGCTCTTTTATTTTTTTATTAATTAAGATGCTTTAAAAAACAAATGGTTCAAGGTCCAAATGAGAGTTTCAGTGCAGCTTCAAAGGGCTTTAAACGACACCAGACGATGAATAAGGGTCTTATCAAGGACCCTTCGAGTCATGACTCGAAAAAAGAGTTTTTTCTTGTTCATTTTGATGAACGAGTTTGAACAGGAGAGTCACGAACGCTCATCACAGAACAGAGCAAGGTGAGCATTTGAGCTTATAAAACTTAAACTTTTTGATTTATTTTTTAAATGGGCGATTGTTTTGCTAGATAAGACCCTTATTCATCGTCTGGTGTCGTTTAAAGCCCTTTGAAGCTGCACTGAAACTCTCATTTGGACCTTGAACCTTTTGGTTCCCATTGAAGTCCATTATATGGAGAAAATCCAGGAATGTTTTCATCAAAAACCTTCATTTCTTTTCGACTGAAGAAAGAAAGACCTGGACATCTTGGATGACATTGGGGTGAGTAAATTATTAGCAAAAGTTTTTTTTTAAAGTGGAAATTTCAAGTTTATAATTTCAATTTCAAGGAAATTTCAATTTCAATTTCAAGGAAATTTCAAGTTTATAATATGTACTACTGTTAAAAGTTTGGAAGTTAAACGTTTTTTTGTTGTTGTTGAAATAAATGAACACTTTTTATTCTGCAAGGATGCATTAAATTGATTCAAAGTGACAGTTATCCTTAAAAATGGTTTCCACAAAAATATTAAGCAGCACAACTGCTCAACATTGATTGAAATCCGCATATTAGAATTCAATGTTGAAATCCGCATATTAGAATGATTTCTGACGGATCATGTTACACTGAAGACTGGAGTAATGGCTGCTGAAAATTCAGCTTTACCATCAAAGGAATAAATTACAATACATTACTTAAGACACTTGAAAAACGTTCAAAATCTTCTCAATTGATAGTGAAACTAATGAAGTCCCATAACAGTTATGATGTAGGCAGGAGACAGAAAAGGCAACTCACTAGGTTTTGAAAAAGAGCCCTTGTGCTGTGGATATTAATAACGCTTAAGAGTTAGAATACATTTCAAAATCAAAAGAGTGACTTACATGAACTAGCTGGTCCTGGGTGTCATACTCTTTGGAACATCCTTCCCAATGACAGTTGGTCTCATACACAGCCTCAGGTTCTTGCTTGCATTCGTCTTTATCAAGTTCCTCCCGTAACTCCATGTGATCCTGTTGAGGATCAGCACTGGTAAACCTTATTTGTATACTTTATTTTATTAAGCCTATCGTACATGTCAGTCTAGAGAAAATGTTGTTGCTCAGAGTTTGCTTTTTAGCTTGTGAGACTGAATTTTATATATAGTTGATATATTATAAAAGCATAGAGCTGTAAGCTATAAGCCATTGACTGATATGGATATAGGGTAGCTTTGATTATTTGGTCTTGGAAGAATGTGATGAGAACGGTTTGACTTCTGATTCCAGACTTTGTAATCATGGGAAATCCTTGTCTGATACTGTAAAAGAGACATGAGAAGTTAATAGGCTGTTTTTTTCTCAAAAGAAGGTTACCTAAGGAACCATTTGGTCTCACTGTGGTCTAGAAAAACCAAAACACACACACAAAACAAAGATGTTAAAGAGATCTCATTAGTATATTATACTCATTTTATATTTCTTATGGGAACTGATCTAGGTCTTGAGTCATTGAGAATCAGATGGGAAGTATTGTTGGTGATCATGTCGATTTTGTAACCCTCGTTTCTCTTAAGGTTTGGGAATGTTAAGAATGCTTTTGAGCTTTAATGAAGTTTAAAGCTAAATGGTTCGAAACCTCGATTATGTGGTGAGAGAACGGCATGCTTCATGGCCACATCTAATGTCACCTCCCACATGCTAATTTGTGTGATATCCAGTCAAAAGTCAAGGATATGTCTACCAGCATGTGCTATGTTGTTAAGAGCGCTAAAGCAACAACTGATAATGGTTCCTTTGAAACTATCCAGAGTTTGGTTTCTTTCATTCCAAGTGTTGAAACCTCAAATATGAAGAGTTTTGAAAGAGGTCCATGCTGACTACAGCATGTTTATATTTGGCCCACTATTGTGTGCTCATCAATTCACATCTGCCCTGATCACACTCCACACCTCTCCTCATGTATCTTACTGTACTAGCACACTGTCACAGAACTGGAAATGAGCCGAGAATTCATCAAAATACAAGATACAATACAGAGTAAGATACAAGAGAGATTTAAAAGAAATGAACAGAGAGATACATCAGTGTTGGGTAAGTTACTTTAAAAAAGTAATTAGTTATAACTAGTTACTACTCACAAAAAGTAACTACATTACTTTGAGTTACATCATTACAAAAGTAACTAATTACCAGGAAAAGTAACTATTACGTTACTTACAAAAGTTTAAATATGTGAAATAACTTGGATACCCCCAATATTAAATATGTTAAATGAATGAAATGGACACTAAAAAGAACACCCTGTTATTATAAAACATTATAGACTAATCTACACTATTTTAATGTTGCTATGGGGCAATGTAAGAGACACCTATTAACTTAAATATTACTATGGTGGAACAACTAAGCACAATATGGTTTAGAACTTTTTTTTTAGAACTGGCCAACAAATAAGTCTAATAATAAAGTATGTTTCTTGAGAAATGTACCGGAAATAAAAAAATAGTAATAAAAAATATACATACAAACTCTTTGTAGTGCAAATTAAAATTATAAAACGCACACACCTTTACAACTGGTACATATACTGTATAGCAGTATTTTCCCCACAAAAGTAAACAGTTAGAATATAATATTGGACAATGTACCATTCATAATAATAATAAAATTAAATTTTTTGTGGTTTTATTTTTATAACCTACAGAGAACGTCATCATCATCAGAGGTTATTTAAAGGGGTCGTGAGCTGGCATTTTAAAAAAAAATTGTATATTGTTATCTGAGGTCAACTTATGACGTTCTCTTGGTTTTTACATTCAAAAAAATCAAAATGTATAAGTAACAGGCTATTTTCTACCCTAGTTTTGAGCCCAGCTCAAAAACGCGGAATTAAACGCCCACTGCTGAGTGGATAACAGTTTTGCATATTATAATGAGTTTCCCTCTTGATCCGGTTTGTCATCACGAGGTAGGCATCTATGTTATTTAGCTATGCGTGTAATGCGCGAATCGGTGGGCGGGGCTAAACCGACCGTGTTGAAGTAGGCGTTGATCTTCTTCTGCGGGGGTGGGGTTTTATCCTCTATGACGTTATAGTTCCCCACTTTGAAAAACGAGTCGTTTGCTGAGGCTGGTGTCAATAAAAGCTTATATTGGACTAACAAGGAGGTTTTCAGTTCTGAAACTTACAGGATATTCTTATAATATGATGACCTTTTAGATGACCTCAAAAGCTCAAGGAAAATTTGATTTGTCAGTTCATCACCCCTTTAAGCCAAATTCTATCCGTGTTTGCCGCATGTGTTCACAACTGGTCAAACAAAGATGTTTTCTGGGAAGTAGGAACGTTCCCAGCAGGTTATTTTGGAGTTTTATTTTATAACCATGTAAACTCATTAAAATGTTGCAGATGATATCATACAGAGATTATCCTAAAGCTGAAATGAGTCATTTACTTATTACTTCACTTCGCTTTTGTCCAGTCTGGCTCCTCATAAAATCTCAAAATCGGATGAAAACCACGTCAGTGAGCTCAATTATAGAAACAGCACATTTTATAGTCAGTAACATTAACGCTGTTGTAACAGAGGAAACAGTAATTAGTTTGATTACTCGTTACTGAAAAAAAATAATGCTGTTTATTTATAACGCCGTTATTCCCATCACAGCATATAAAGCGGTCTGGGTCATTTTGGTGAAGAGGATCAAAAATGTATTGAAAAGATTATGGGAAAAAAGGACGTTTTGTTCATGGATGTTTTTTTATTTATTAATTTTTTAACTTAAATGTAGGGCTTTTTGACTCACAAAGCCATTGTTTAGCTTCAGAAGACTTCAAAAATCATATGGACTACTTAATGAAACTTTAATAGATGTTTTGAGTCCGTTTTGAAGGTTAAAAACCTTAAGATGACCTTAAGTGATAATGAACATAATCCCACAAACCTGAGAACCAGGTGAGATGGGGTGGGGTCCATCTGTTTCAGTCTTCACCTTTGACCTCTTGAATATCATAGGGTTGACAGTGCTGCTGACAGCAGGATCTCCACCAGCATTCTGCAAGAGAGCAAGGAAAGAGAGTCATTGGAGACACCATGTCGACGGTTTGGCTTCTGGCATGAGTGGTGATTTCACGCCTACAAAGGCACCATGCTCCAGATGCCATATTTCACAAAGCAACTTGCTGCAGAGACTAAACAGTTTAGACTGCACTATGAGCATCTGTCAGATGGAAATATGAAAAGGAAGAAATTATTACGCCCAGAGAGCGACTACAGACTTTGATCCTCAGATGGATTCATAATTCAACAGACAGTCTCTGTGAACATGCAGGCTCTGCGTTCAAGTGGAGGTGCCTTTTCTTCCAACCACTATAGTATGGCAGAGGTCCATGTTTTCTATTAACTCAATAACCCTGACATGGTTTGCTCAAAAGTGAGGGAAATGTGTTTCTCATAACTATAGTGTGTGTATGTGGTTTGGAGATCAGCAATAATGTTGGAATGAAAACTGCTTTGGTGAGTGTCTGAATAGAGCGAGAGGAAGTTTATGTTCTGGATGGCCATAGAGTTTACATGGGAGTGGATCCTTGGTCCATGAGCATTACACAGCCTTCTATAGACCATTTTGCAAGATGTAAACAACACTGGTCCAGAAGCACTTCCTGTTTCAGTTTTTTAACACTACATAAAAGCTGGGATAAAATACAACCAACAGAACATATAAAACTGAATCAAAAAGTTAAACAAACATCTTTAAGATGTTTTCTTTACATGTGAAATAAAGAAAACAGTTACAAACTGAAACAGGAAGTGTTTCTGGACCAGTGTGGTTTACATCTTGCCAAATGGTCTATAGAAGCTGATAAATGAAAAAATGGGCATGAATGAAAAGATTAGTTCAGATTAGCCTGAATTCCCTGGTTTGTTTATGCTGGGTAGTGATCGTGTACCACAATAGCAATGCTATTCACCTTAAATGCTTAAAGTTAATCTTTAAAAACACTAACAATTAAATATTAGATACCAAAAGGAAATGCAGTACATTATAATATCCCTTACTGTAAAAAATATTCTTGGTTTAACTTAAAAAAAATAAGTAACCTGGTTGCCTTAATATTTTAAGTTCATTGAAATGGAAACATTGAGTTAATACAATGAAGGAGATTGATTTAATCATCAGAAACTCAAAATATTATGTTATCTGAACTACATAAATGATCTAAGTTGATTTGACAAAAGAAAAAATGTGATTACAAATCATGAAAATATTTTTTTTTCTACAGTGTAGCATTTGATGATTTTTTGATTGAATTTACTTGAAAAAAGTATAGAATTTCAACATCTGCATTTATTGATTATTGGTCATAAGAAAAGCAATTATTGGCCTATCTGTATCAGAAATAATTATTTATTGGTGCATATATAATACTACTGTTCAAAAGTTTGGTGTCAGTCGGATTTTTAAAATATTTTATAAAAGTCTCTTATGGTCACCAAGGTGGCATTTATTTGATCAAAAATAGTCAAAACAGAAATACTGGGAAATATTAAATCTATTTTAAAATGATGATGGCAAAGCTAATTTTGCAGCAGGGTCTTCAGTCACATGATCCTTCAGAAATCATGAAATATACTGATTTGCTGCTTAAGAAACATTTCTTCTCATTATTAATGTTTTGCTGCTTAATATTTTCGTGTAAACCGTGTTTGATTTTTTTCAGGATTACAGTAACTTTTAATCAATTTAATGCTTCCTTGCTAAAACACAAGTATTTCTCTCTTTTAAAAAAACAAACAAAACAAAACAAACGTACTGACCCCAAACTATTCAATAGTAGTGGACATTATAAACATTAAATTTCCAGGTTCCTCAAGTCAAGACCTTTGAAACCCTGAAAACACGTATGGAAACCTCTGTAAAATCACCTGGCTGGACTCTGTGTTGGTGTCGGCGCTGTTGTTGGTCAGCGCAGCAGCTGCCACCAGCGTCTGCTGCCGGGAACTGAGGGAAGGAGAAGGCTGTAGGAGGGGGGGAGTGTGTCCAAATGCATTCAGACTTCTCTGTTGGGACAGCAGCTGGTGGTATGCAACTGGTGTGATCGGATGTGGGAATGTGAAGGACGGACTGAGATGTGAGAAAAAGGAAATAGTTCAAACAATGGGCAACCTGCAAAAACATTTCAAATCAACACAGAAGGGAGAATGGTCATTCCTGTACCTGATGGCCCCGACGGAGAGGTGTCCGTAAGAGCTGCTGGCAGCCGAGCTGGAACGGGAGTTATTGATGTAGGCCACCAGAGAGTTGGGCGAGGTGCGGATCATGGTCTGCAGGTCGATGCTGGCATCCGAGACTGGGGAGATGGACAGCGCTCGCTTCCTGCTGCTTACCCTCGGCGTCAGTCTGGGACTGGGGAAACGGGACACTGAAGAGAAAGAAAAAAAAAACCCACTTGTTCAATCTCACCTTAAAGAGATCCGTTCAATTCTATTTATCTACAGAATCACCATCAATATGTTGGGCTTGCATACAACTCACTATGAATAATTTCACAGGCTAATCATACCAATCTCACCCAATGAGGTGTTCTGCAGAATGCCAAACAGATGCTATTTAACAACATTGATCAGAGAGGCAAACAAGCAAATTAGGCAAACAAGCAAGTAAATAATGTTTAGAATGCTGAACAGTCTATATTTAAAGGTCCCGTTCTTCGTGATTCCATGTTTCAAACTTTAGTATGTGTGTAATGTTGTTGTTAGAGTATAAATATTATCTGTTAAATTATAAAGCTCAAAGTTCAATGCCAAGCGAGATATTTTATTTAACAGAAGTAGCCTACATCGAACGGCCCGTTTGGACTACATCCCTCTACATCCTTCTTTAATGACGTCAGTGGAACAGTTTTTTGACTAACGTCCACCCACAGGAACGCTCCCTCAACTCCATCAACTTGCGCACTTCTTATAACGATTTTCTGCGATTTTCTGAACTAAAACTGACACTTCATCTTTTGTGTGATGTACAATAAACATTATTAAACTCATGTTTGATCATCATTCGGATCTGGTCCGAAACGGCAGACTTGTAGGCTATTAATAAAGAATGGATACACACAAGCAGATGACAAATACGTTAAAATAACAGTAATTAAACTACTAAACTAAACCTGTTCCATCTCTATACAGCACTCTGACTCTGTAGGCATTATTGGCGACTCGAAACGAACACCGTTACTGAGAGGAATGAAGCTCCGCCCCCTGTGCCGGCAGCAGCCGCTTATTTGCATTTAAAGGGCACACACTAAAACAGCGCGTTTTTCTGAGCGCCAAAAAATGACAATTTAAACATGCTGTAAAACATGATCTGTTGGGTATTTTGAGCTTAAACTTCACATACACATTCTGGGGACATCAGAGACTTATTTTACATCTTGTGAAAAGGGGCATAATACGGGACCTTTAACTTAGAGGAGATTTGAGTATCTAATATATTGGTGTATGCTAGTCATCTTCAAAAATAACCTTTTAAAATAATTGTAAAAAGTCATCTTTTTAAAATAATTGTAAAAAGTGTTTACAATTCCATACAAAAGTTTGGGGTTGGTAAGATTAAAAATACATACATTATTAACTATTTATTTTTCTATTGTTAAGTATTATTACAATAATAATAATATTAATACAAAAATTACTTCAAAAAATCTTCAGACACAGTCTTCAGTGTCACGTGATCCTTCAAAAACCCCTCTAATACGCTGATTTGGAGCTCAAAAAAGATTTCATTGTATTATTAATGTCACAAGCAGATGTTCTGCTTAATATTTTTGTGGAAACTGAAGAAAAAGAACAGCACTTACAGTTTTTAAAATGACAGTATTTCTTAAATATATATATATATATATATATATATAATATATATATAGTCTTGACTCCCTTTACTGAATAAAAGTATTAATTTATTTAGAAAAAATATATTTCCAAAACAAAATTTGAGCTTCAAATGCTGATGTCAGAAGTTACGTAACAATCATATCCACACGCACACTTGATAATTATAAGGGCAAAAAAGAGGGTGAACAATGACATAAGTAGCCTACCCTTCCACAAAATGTTAAAACTGTGTAATTTGCATTTACAATTGCTGAGTGAGGCCATGTTTCTATGTGCATGTGCTCTGAACTGTAGTAAACAGGTGCTGCGCATTAAGCGCTGGTGTAAGCGGACAGAGAACAGCAGTCGGGCATGGAGGCTTTTTTGCCCTCCAGGAGGGCATCAGCAAAGGTGCTACAACAGGAAATATGTAATGGGTCCATTAAACTACACACAAACACAAGCACCTCACAAAAAACCTTCAAGTGACATTTCAAACAGACGCCTGTCAAACTCTCACAAATCCACAGCCCCCAACAAGTTAATGACTCCCTTGCCATTCTTTAAGCATCGGTTTTAATGCGTACTGCAAACAGCAATTATTATAGGTTATTACGCTAAATATAAAAGAATGAGATTTTGACATTTGATCCCTCAATGCTTCATTTAAAGGTAAAGTGTCATTCTGCACCATTACATCAAACGGAAATTTTAATCATTTTTACATATTAAGGAAACTTCACAATTATAGATGCTTCAGCAAAAACTAACACTAAAGGTCCCAAAAACAATTACATATGACAAATTAACATGCAGTCAGAAATACAATACAAACTCAAATTCAGAATCGTTGGAAGTCTGAATCAAAACTCTATTACAATTCAATCGGTAAGTATTAAAAAAAAAGTAAATTCCATCTTAGCAAATTTCATTCAGTGTTTTGACGATCGGGAGGTTGGTTTGCGAGTCTTGGGTGAGATGGCGAACCACACAGGATGACAATGACAAGAAAATTGAAATTTGGTTTTCATAGTTGTATATATATATATATATATATATATATATATCATATATATAAATAAATCAATGTCACTCAATTTAATTATACCAAAATAAACTAAAAATATCCCTAAAACCCCTAATAGATTCTGTCTAAAAACTTTTCCAGTTTGCTGTGCGACTGCCACGTTGATGGGACAGCGTGTGGCAGCGCTTAGCAGTCCTCTGCCCACAGATTGAAGACAACAGCAGGGGGTAGCAGCGCCTGCCTGCCCTCAGCTGCCGAGTCCCACACACTCTGCAACGGTCTGTTTTTATAGGCAGCGTCTCTAATTTAGGGGTGCACAGGTTCCTGGGAGAGAGCTAAACCAGATGTGCAGTGCTGTGAGGCGGTGGTGGCAGAGGCTGGCTCGGGCAGTCCTGTCGACCCTGTGGGATGGGGAATGGTGGGTAGGAGGAGGAGGTGCTTCTAATTGAGGATCTGGCCTGATATATAGCTTTATAATTACAGGCGCTCTCTGCACGTATACAAAAGAGGCAGTTATATTAGGCATCTGCTCTGATGTTTTTATTGGGATGCCGGAAAAATTTATTTGGAAGGTGTTATTCCAGCCCGTTCTCATCCCAAGGCGTCATATACTGACACTTTTGACATTTCGTCTACATCCAACGCACATGGCACCCTTTAGCGTCAATATGAGAAGCAGATATATATGGGCCAGAAGGCGCCTCCTAGTGGTCTAACCCTAACACTACCCCAGACCTAAACCTACCAATAACCGAATAAAGCTCTGTGCATTTTATATTGACGCTCAAGGGTGTCATGTTCGATAGATGCTCTATCATCTAACCATTATCAAATAATAAAAATCAACTAATCGTATAAATCATAAATACTTGAATATAAAAATGAAAAAAAAACAATCATGCAATCAGTATCAATTTTGTTTTTGATTTTGAAAGAAGTCCAACTCTGCATTTATTTGATTAAAAAAACAGTAAAAAACTGTATTATTATTTATAATGTAAAAGAATTGTTTCTATTTTATTATATTTTAAATTTTACTTTATTCCTGTAATGGCAACACTGAATTTTCAGCAGAAATGTCTGCAGTCTTCAGTCACATGATCCTTCAGAAATCCTTCTAATATGCGTCATTATTACCAATTATTATGCGACATTATTACCAAAAACTTTTGAAGAAGTGTACATTACATTGCAAAATGGAAGCGTCTTGTGTTAGTGTCTGTTGTGCAGGCATATGCATGAGTGAGTGTGTTGGACCGAGCTGCAGTGGTGACAAGACTCCCTTCCTATACACCCAAAAACCTCCGTTCCAAAACACCAGAGTCCTGCCTGTAGCCGGACAGCAGACGTTTGCTTTGGCAGTCGCTATTATCACGGGACTCTAAACTGTTCCCTCTGGCTATGCCATACAAATGAGTTCAGCACTTGTTTCCCCCCTCTTTCCATTCATAATCTTGAAGCATTCCTGTGTAAGCAACTCAATTAGAGGCTGTAAACCCCTTCACTTGAACGTAGAGTTGAGAAGTAGAGCTGAATTGAGCCATCGATAAAACAGAGGTCTGTTCAACCTATTATCCGGCTGTTTCGGGCATCAGGCAGAGTCTGACTGTGAGCCGGAGGCTGTGGTGATTTATTTATTCACTTTCATCCATCCAGAGGGCGTAAGGCCAGCATTTCCCATCTCACCCATTGAGAAGCATTGACTGAGACTTCTCATAACATTGCATGCGCAATAGATTCACTGAAAGTACACAAAAAGGGCCTGAGGAACGTGCCCATTGAGTAAAAAAACCAGTCTGGGTGTGATGGGGAAATGCGGCTGTGTTGTTTTTAGTGGCGACTGCGCTTTCAATCGGCGTGTCGCCCTGTCAGACGCAGCCCATAATTAACATGTGAAGTGCACGCCATTGGAATGCTCATGCACTTGGCTCAGCAATGGAGCATTTCAGCAAGACGTGCACTCATAGGCGACGCCGTCTCCTTTCATTGTTTTCCTCTATTTGTTATTTTGGGGCCTGTTGGGGCAAATGCGTTTGGCATTCACATGGTTGGCAGGAGGAAAGTGATCTGCAGGAGCGAGCTACATGTATTCAAAAGCTTTTTGGGTTTAAATTCAAGAGGTGGTGATGATCCATCATTCTTGCGTCTTAAGAGTTTACTCTTACCTTTATAAGTCATGGATGACTGATGTGGGGTTACACACTAATCATATTTAAAGACTAGAGATTTGTTTTAAATACTACTCTCGGCAGCAAAGTCATGTGCATGTGAGCTACTGCTTGAGTGAAAAATAGCAGTGTTCACTGCACTATAGCATATTTATTTATAGAATAATCGTAATTTTAACGGTAAAAGACGGTAAAAATGCTATAGTGCAAAACCGTTAATTGGTTAACCGAAAGTTTACGTATTATATACCGTAAATAACTGTGATAGATCTCAGGGAACATTTAATGTAATTACACTGTAAAATAGCGTTAAATTTACAGTTTTTGAAAGTGAAAAAGAACAACTCGTATAATTTAC